ACCAGACTATAAAATAAGTCTGGTCAGTCATCTTAAACTTGGGAAGTAATTATAATTTTTCTTTATCGATTGAAGTCAAGTGACGTGGAATATATAGAACAGATATGTATTTCTAGTTTACCATCCAAGCAGAAGGAAGAGGCGAGCAGTTGGTGATGAGGGCAATTCTTCACCCAAAGCAAGCATACCAGCAACAACACCAGTGACAATGGATGCCACAGCAGCACATGTAGATACCACAATCGCCCTCCCATGTTTTAGTCCTCGAGTCTACTAAAGAAAAGACAACTTTATTATGAATTCGAAGAACAGAGGAAAAGGCTGTCATAAGAACAATTAACATTAAATGCAGACCAATAGCATAAAGAGATCAAATCACCAAGCATTTCGAACTACCTGATAGTAAAATCCAGTAGCACTGCAACAAATACTTATCAGGATGCATATAGGAACCAGTATCTCGTGGAAGCCCTGCTCCAAGAATAGAAATCCTATCTTTGATATCACAGATGCCATCCTGCAATGGGACATTTACTTGTTGACATTGCGTTGGCATGAATCTAAGTAGCTCATTGGACTGACAAAGGTGTAAAAGACTGACAATTGTATAGGGTGCTTATGCTCAAGTTCACAAACATAATGAACACTTGGACAGTATAAAGACAACCCTAACAATGACAGAACTACTCAAAATTCCTCTCTTCATTGTGGTATCCATCTCGAATACAAAAATAAAAGCTGGCTAAATTCAATATGGGACAAACTAGGATACCACCGCAACCAGGCCTGGAGCCCAAATTCATCACAATGAAGCAAAATTCTAATTCATATTAGTCATCCTCAACCTTAATAATTGCAGGTTATGTAATTCATCAAGTAAAAAAGTGCAACCAAGAGCAGTACCCGAACAAAATGCCAGATTCCAAGCCGTATATTATTTCTTCAACAACTTCAAATTCCATCTGCAACATGTATATACATATATAAGATACTATTATTTTAGGAGGACAAGAAGGCCAGTGAAAAATCAACATAAGAGCAGTGAGTTTACCAACTCTTGTTCTCTCCTTTGACGTTTGTAGAAATGAAGCCATCCATTAAGAAGAACCTGTTAAAATATTATATGCACATGTACCCAATCATTTCTAGATGTTAGCACATTCATCTTTTACAGCTCAATTTAAAAATTACTGGCATATTATATTTATTTCTGCAAGTAAGAACATAAAACGTCTAACATAAAATGTCCTATCTAGTTAACATGGCCAGAGATTTTTATAATACATCAGGTGATGATATTATAAGATACCTACAAACAAGATGGTAATGATGAATGCCAGCCATGGTAAATGGAAGATTGATATTGCAGAGGCCTTTTGCTCCTCGCCTCCAGCACCAACCCCTAAAATGGAAAACAACGATCCAGAAAAAGACTACTATATAAAGCTAAATTAATTACAAAAAGTAGGAAGGAATACGAAGGTTCATAAAAAATTAAGATCCAAGGCCAGAGCAAATGTGAGATGCATAAAATGCACATTTAAAAAAAAAAAGAAAGGAAAAATTAGATTAAAGACACAAAAATGAACTTACATTACCTATGGTGCCAATGCCAGCAAGCGTAATCCCCATCCAATCAACGGCATTCATTATTTCCTTCAGATAAAAATGTGAAAATACAGAGAGTATGGCAAGCCCACAACCAGAAACTGGTTGAATTATAGATACCTGAAAAACAGCAATTACAAAGGAATTGCATATAACGTGGAAGAAAATCAGCACAAGATATATTGACAGAACTGTATACAACTTTCTATGACGTATGGATTCTTGGGGAAAGAGTAATCGGTAAACTGGTTTTATAGCATCAAATTATTAGACGAAACAGTTAGATTGCATGTTATTTTCATAATGATGAGAAGATATTAGAAATATGACTGCAGGAGTCACCACTTAGCCATAAAGACATGAATTGACATTTCAATTATATGGAGGAAGTTAATAGGAGCGTCGAATTCATCTGGATCTCAGAAAAAACAAAACACGCATGCAATAACTTCGAGATCCGATCGTCCATTGCCGATCAAATAACCAAAAAGAAAATGGTGAAGTGGCTGAATAAGTACTTACAGGGGCGAGGGATAGCGCTCTCAGCATTAGAACAGCTCCAAATATATCCATTAGAAAACCTATGATCCAAGTTTTGTTAAAAGCGTAAGCCTTTATCACCTATATCCACGAACAACCAAAGAAAATTCATCAACTCATTCAAGAAATGGGACATTATAGCTTGACTGCCCAAATCCCCGATCAAATTCGAAAGTAAAGACAATTTGAAAATCAGATAACCGCAACATCAACGAAATACAGACCAGCCAGCGCAGTTCAAGAAAACAAAAAAACGAATCGCATGAAATCAAATGATCCAGAAAGAAACGTCGGAGAAATCACGAAATTGGAAAGAAAATAAAGAGCAAAAGCGAGGGAAGGCGGAGAGCATGCATACCTTGAGCTTGAAAGAGAGAGGAGGAAGAATGACGGTGCCCTTCTTCTGCAGTACTTTGCCGATGTTGTTGCCGGCGGCGGCCGCCAAAGTTAAACAAATCGGTTCCCACATCTCTTCCCTGGAAGCTCGAAATCCGAGAGACACAAAAACAAACGAAAGAAACAGGAAAAAGGAAGAAGAAATCAAGAAATCGGAGGGTACGGTTATGGTTTGAGGGTGAACTTTTCGATTTACGTTAGAAATTTTTGCGCCAACGCCAACGACGGAAATTTGTCCTCTTGGATTTCGCTCTCTTGCATTTCCAACTAAACCTGGTCTGGCCACGCCCCAAGAAAGCTCACCGATCTAATCACGTGCCGATCAGATGTTCCGCAGTTCCCTACTGGCTGCGTACGTGTCAGTTCCTTATTGGCTGCTGAAGTCTGTGGTCATTTTTCTTATGTCTATATTTAAGAGTTTAATTTTAAATTACAAATTTAATTTCTATGGTTTTTTTATAACATATGAGGCGTAGATTCAAATTTACTATCTTTGATCAGAGATAAGTGTATTTTAATAATCCTGACAGATATAATGTTTTTTATTTGTCAAAGATGATCAATTAAAATTGTCAAAGATAATCAATAAAAAAAGAAATAATTTTGACAATGACAAAAGCAAACACCTCTCAAATATTATTATTTTAAATGAAAGTGATTTTGTCGATAATAAAAATAACTTTTAATATGCCAAAATCATTCCTAAATATACCTCAACTAAATAGAATTTCTATTGTTCCCTTCTTTCTAATGAGTTTTGAACTTATAGTTAGGTAAATAGAAAATGTGTTATGTATTCAATATTGTAATGTTAATGGATAATTGGTAAGTGTGATTTGTGAATTTTGATCGAATTATATGAATCAAATTGAAATTAAACCAAAATCATAGGGATCAATTTATTAATTAACCTAAAATTTATCTACATTTTAAACCCTAATGAAAGATAACAAAAATAAATATATCAATTTATTAATATGATATCGATTATTCAATTTTTGTGACGATATATGAAATGTAATGATAACTAACATGAGTTTAGTCTAATAATTAAAATAACTAATTTCTTCTTTCCAAGTTAAAGGTTCAATCTCTCATCTCATAATTATTGTACTAAGAAGATGACGTGAAAAGTTTCTTAAAAAAAAAAAAAGAAGAAATTGATTGAAAAGTAAACTGAAATTGTACTTAATCATATTTGAAGGTCAACCATATGTAAAATTTATTATATTAGATATTTTATTTTACATTCCTAAATAATGGTTTATATGTCTTGTGAAGCTTTTACCAAACATAGAAATGGTAATTAATTAAAATAAATTAAGGTAATATTAAAATATAATTTAGATTTTCTCTGGTTATTTGTGGAAATAGAAACACTTATTTTAAAAAATAATTCTTTTGCATTTTGAAATTTCAATTTTAGAGGCTACCAATGGTTGAATTTTCATTTAAATTGCCACATGAAGTATGTTTTGGTAGGGCCCTTTTGTATAAAATTATAATTATGTGTTAGGATTATAATTAGGTACAAAATGGACAGGGAAAAATGAAAATGAAAAAAAAGAAAAAAGTCTTCAACTTTTTTACCCAACTTAAAGGAAAGTGAGGCTGGTTGTTGGCAACCTTGCTTGCTATATTGGAACTGTAATAAAGGGTATTTGAGACATTGACCCAATTCATGATGTTTTAGGAGCAACTACAAATTCAACATAATTTAAGCGAAAAAAAAAACACAGAAAAAAGAGAAAGAAAAATGCAATTACAAAATTACAATAAATCATTGATCTTTTCTTATATATGTTTTTGGTAGCTATATACTTTTCACCACGCTTACGCTTGATTCATGTACTTTCAATTTTTGTTCATTTTACTTTTAAAAATTACTATTTTAGTCCATTCATTTTTATTTGTATCTCATTTATTTTGAACAAAATTTGAATTTAAAAGTATATGAATAAAATAAATGTTCTGAAACTATAGGAACCAAAATGAATATCTTGAAAATACAGGATCAAAATAAATCAAAACAAAAATGAGAGGACAAAAGTAGTGCTTAAACTTTTTTTTCTTTTTTTAATTAAAACTTTGGTGGAGAAATTTAAAAATTCACCAATGGAGTTAACAAGTCATCTCTATTAACCAAAATCACTCCTCTAGCTGCAACGCTGTCTTCTCAAACTAAAAAGGAAAAAAAAAAATCTTCTCTTCTTATTCATAATCTAGAATTAAAAGAAAACAAGATTTTTCGTCCAAAATTTTGATTTGGGTTAAAAATTTCAGCTCCACGGCTATTGAAACCAATACTATTAGATTTAATATGCAAGATATCTATAGGTCTCAATTTACAAAGTTTACTCATATTAATTTAACTCGACCCGTTAAAGCATATATCTTGATTACGATTAAATGACAAAAACTTTTCAAATTTGCAAATTTCCACTTGTCTAATCCATTGGAAGCCAACCGTTTTTTCTTCTTCCAAACAGTAAATCACTCGTAAAGTAGACCATTATTGACAATTTTGAATTATTTTGAAATGCATCCAATAAAATAAATGAAAAAAAAGCAGTAAATTTCCCCAAACTCATTACAATTTACAAACACGCCACCAAGAATCAATCCTAAAAGTCAGCCAAGCACTACGAAACGCAAAGAAGAGGAAAATCCCAACGAAAAAAAACCACAATCTCATTCCTTCACCAATTCCGGGCCCAACAATTTTCCCTCATTCCCCATTCCCCAGTGTTGCCTTCTTCAAATTCCCCCTATGAAACCTCCCCTTTCCCTCTAGCTCGATTCATCAATCCCCCGAACCACATGGAAGATTACAGGTCATATGGAAATGGGTTCAGTGGAGACGCCAATACAGAGGGCAACTATGCCGCAAAGCCTCGGAACTCCTACGATTTGAGGTCGTATTCTGCTTCCTATGCACAAACCCAGATGGAAATCAAGGAATCGCAGTTCAAGAAAGCGAAAACCCCATCTGGGTCTGTCTCTAAATCATGGAGTTTCGCGGACCCTGAATTCCAGAGGAAGAAGAGGGTTGCTAACTATAAAATGTATTCTGTGGAAGGCAAGATGAAGGGTTCTTTCAGGAACAGTTTCAGATGGCTGAAGCGCAAATGCGAACAGGTCGTTTATGGCTGGTGGTGATTGGTTTCGGATTTGGCTAATCTTCTTCAAGTGCTTTCTTGTAAGTATGTGCAAAAAGTTTCTTCAGTTGTATTTACAAGAAACTCTGAAATCAATGGTATCATAGTTCTTGATGATGCTTTCTGTTTGAAGAAAGAGGAGGTTGAACAATTAGAATTTATTGGATTGGATTCTATGTATGGTTTTTTTTCCCCTTTTTTTGGTCAAGAATTGAATCTTCTTGGCGGCTGTAACTGTTGAAGTGTAGTAATGAAATGAATCTTCCATTTATATCTTTATCTACTTTTGCAATGTGTGGCTCTTTTGAAAATTTGAGATGCTGGGATTTCTTGTGGACAGAACAGAAGTGCCTTCATATCTATATCTATTGTAGCAGCCTGTTAACTGAGTTTTATAGCTTGGTGACTGGTTCACTGATTTGCATTTTAGATAAGATGCTTCTGTTTAGGATGTGAAGAGAAGGTTTTAAGAGTTTTGTTAAAAGTAAGGTCAATGTCTCAGTTATTTGGGTAGAATCCAAAACAATATTGTATATGAATATGGAGAGACTCGTTATCCTAATACTACGCATCTTGAATAAGAAATCTAAATCAGTTTCTCTCGTATCATTGTCATTGAAACATGAATGCTCGAGTTTGCTGCATTCTAGCATTCTTGAACCGATGAGCTGCAACACAGCATTATTTGAAGTTGCAGCAGATTGGCAGAGAGATCGGCCTTGCGGTTTATCAGTAACAGGTAGTATATCGTGTTCGCCGATGCAAATGAACCCCGAGCATCGGCATTTACCTAAACATGTAGCATTTTAGCCTTACATTTTGATTCAATTCATCTTTGGCATCTTGAGATTGTATGGTCACCGACTCACTGTGACTGAATCTATTCATTGGTAGTAGAAATCATTTGGGGCAGATTATTCTATTTTGGCTTGTAACTCTCTGGGCCTAGTGGTGCTGTTGTTCATCATACTGTTAACGAAGAGTATCAATATTCATGAATTTCATGTCAAAATTAATTGACAAGCAGAGAAGTAGGTCATGTATATATATATTATAAACCTTTGTAAGTCATTTTCTGTGAGATTTTCAACATGTCCTCTCAAGATCGTAGCTCTTTTGGCTTATCGATCTTGGTCGAATCTCATTTTTTGAATTGGATGCTCGTTTCAGTTTTTGAACTTTGATATATATTAATATTCATGAGGTTATATCTCAGAACAAATTGACAATGAAAAGAGTAGTCTACGTATATTATAAACTTTTGTGTCAAAGTATCATTTGCTGATAAGGAACGAAAATTCGGCCATTTTAGGGATTCAAGTTGGAAGATGATTGTGTTAAAGTTAGTATTGTTATATGTTTTAGAATAAGTATTTACAAACTCGCACTTCTAGAGAGAAGAACAATAATAGAAAATAGTTATTTAAACATGTTTTCGTATATTTTTTATTTTAAAACATAAAATTGTACTAAAACCAATTTCCAAAATAATTTTTTTCCATGGAGTGGTTGAATATTATTTTGGTTGGCATTTGGAGAATTTGTTTCAAAGTTGGTTGCTTGTTATCAAACCTAACCCCAATTCTTTCTTGCCACTAGTTGAGTCAGCCTCTACCGGCAGTTGAGCCTTGAGAGCATTATTTTGGGCTCAAATGGGCTTATTTATGGGCTGTTTTAGGCCCCATGTCCAATATGAAAGTGAAGCCCACTGCCATGTGCTCATCCTTTAGGAACGGAGAAAAAGGGATTATGAGAGAGCTTAGGACATCTTTACTTGAGGAGAGTGAAAACTAGAGATGAAAATTATTTTTCCTCATTTTTATTCTTATTGTTTACCAATTTTATTATAAGAATAAAAATAAGAATAACTCTCAATTTATGGTTGTATACGAAAAATTAATAATTATTATCATTAATTCATTTCTTCAGGAAACATCCATTTATAACCCTCTAAATATGGTACCACAATGACTTTCTCCTTTTTACTCTATGGTGTGTTTGATTAATTTAATATTGACTTTTTACAATATTGACGTTCAAACTTATTAAGACATATATCTCGACCAAGTTGAAAGTTCAAATCTTCATCTCCTATATATATATTGTTGAACTAAAAAAAGACTTTCATTCTCAAATTTACCCAACCCAATTATAAAAAAATTATTCCAATTCTACCAATAAAAAAAGGAAATTTGATTTCTCTCCACCCCATCAAGTATACGGCTTAAATCTTAGCGAGATAATGGTTGTCCACATGCATAGATGAGGTTGTGGAATTTTATATCTGTAAAAAGAAATATGGCCAAAAAGGAAAACTTTGATATATGTATATTAGAATATTACATTATTATCTATATACAATTAGATTCTATAAGCATGTCTCAATCACTAAACTATATTGGTTTAATATATTTTTATTCACCTTGTTTGGGGAAGAGAATACCCTAGACACGTGGAGGACCCCTATTGGTGCTCCAAGATGACTCATGAGTCATGCCCAGCTCGGACGGCCGAGATCACCACCACTAGCGTTGAGAGATGCTAAGTATGAGGGCCGAGGTGAACCTGGCCGAGGTCCGACCTACAGGGAAGCTCGGTGGGGGCCGATGTGAGCTACTGTCAGCGGCGTGATTATCGGGTATAACCGTCGGTCCCGAGATTACCGGGTGTAACCGTCGCGAAATTAGCGGGGCTACCACCCATAAGTAGAGGACTTCACTCCACGATCCGGTACGATGATTTCTGACCTCGAACTAAACTGGGAATCCGACCTATACTGACTTGATCGTCGGAGTGCTCACCTTTTTGTGCAGGTCCGCCCAAGTATTTAGATCGGTCCGGAGGCCGAGTTCGAGCTGCAATCTGAAATACACTGTTGTGCATATCCTTGCATAAACAGTCTGTGTTTGATAACGTGTGTTTTCAATTTTTTTTTTCCTAAAATTGTGTTTATTGATATATTTTAGTTCATATATTAGCTGATTGAAATAATTAAAATTAAATTAAAATTTTTATTTTCTTATGAATTAGGAAGTATAGTTTTCATTTATCATTAAATAAATTAAATAAATTTGTTTGCTTAATTTTTTTTTCAATAATTATTTTATACAAATTTATCCAACATGCAATTTTTCACGAAATAAGTTTATTTAATTATCTTACTATGCTAACTAAATTTATTTACTAATTATTATCAAAATTTTCATTAAGCTTAACTTTTTTTTTATACTTAGACATTTTCTTAAAAATTAAGACATTTTAAATAATAATTATTTCAAAGTTATTAACTTCAACACAAACTAATCAAAATAGTTAAATTCATTCATGGTATAGAATAATTTCTTTAATTAATTATGCTAATATGTTTACATTGCACTAATTTAAAAAGTTTGAGAAAATTATGGATTTAGATAAATGAATTTGTATGTCATAGGTTGAATTTTGAATTTATAATAAAACAATTTAGATTATTTATATATGTGTGATTAAAAAATATAATAATATTTATTTAGTAACTAATATTTCAAGCATGAATAGTTTATTAATCTAAATTATTTTTGAATAATTATTGTACAATAAATATTTAATTAGTTTTGTTACTGCTTTTTTTTTCTAAATATTTTTGTGAACCAAGTGTGTACATACATTATTGCATATAAATTTGTCATTATAATTGCTCTAGAACATGAAGTTTATAACGAGTATAAATGAAATGATTAGGTTAGTTTTTGTTAAAGTTGACAGATAAGTTTAAGAAAATTGAACTACGTTACCGTTATGGTTCCAACTGATCGAATTAACTCAATTTGACTAGTTTCTTCGTTTTTTAATTTTAGTTCTCACTCATGAAATTTACGATTAAAAAAAATTATCGATATATGAATTAATAATTTATTACTTGCAATTTTAATTAAATTCATTTACTTATTTATTATTAAAATTATAATTAATTAATTTTCTTATTTAACTAATGTTTTTATTAAAAAGTTAATGCATTTCTAGGAGAGAGATTAAAGACAAAATATGTACTGTATGATAATTCTGAAAAGTAAGGATAAAATTTTCTAGAAGGGAGTAGTGATAAAGCACTGTACCAAACTCGCGGGATAGAATAGTATTTACTGTAGCAACATGGGGGTAGAGTAGTAATTACTATAGCGAACCTAAGTTTATAAAAAATGTGAAACAAAGATGAGTTTGACTTAGCTAACCCTACGCTCAAAACAGGGAACCAAACACTCCTTAAGAGGCCGTTTGGTTCAATGTTTCAAAAAAGTAACTTGGGATTAATATACTTGTGAATAAAATGCATGAGCTGTGTTTGGTTGAATATATGTCTGGGATTAAGTTGTCAGAAAATAACTTATATATATGTTTATTCTGTGTGATTAGTCTAGAAATATGTGTTTTATGCCATCGTAAACATTGATTAATAACGAATGAAATTTAATTCAAAAAATGAATAAAATAAAATAAATTATTTTAATTTTTAAATTATTTTATACTAGCATTCTAAACTTTAAATTTACAATTTAGCTATATTGGCAATTTAGTACAATGATCAATTGAACAATTAATAGTAAATGTTATTTAACTAATATTCAATATTTACATATTTAGCAAAATGATATATTTGTATAAAGCTTTAAAATCAATCAAAATTAACTTCCAATAATTAATTTACATTAATTAATTGATTGAAGTATTCATTCGTGATTGAATTCTTTTGATATTATTCTACTCATGTCACTTTGAAAATATTTTTTTCAAGTGGCTTGCCATCATAAAAAAGGGTGAGATTGTTAGCTTTACGAGCATTAATCATGTCAAATATTTTGATGATAAGAAACTTTATTTACTAATGCTTTTAGTGTTTCAAAGTGTCTATTGCATAGAACTCCGAAAGACGAATCCAACACATTTTGAATCACTCAAATTGGAGTTCAAACGAATAATTTATAGCCAAAACAAATTTGGGAAGAAAAAACACATATGGTAAGTGACGTGGACAATCTTAACCAATTAGAAGCCGACACGTTTAATGTGGCAAGATGACGTGGCAGATGATGTGGCAGGTGACATGACATTTAATAGTCAAATTATGTCAATGTGGTAGTGATGTGGCACTAACATGACATCAACGATTTTGATGACGTGGTGGACGACGTGGACGAATCATGTGGAGACATGTGACACATTAAAATATGAAGTAATCAAATTTACCCAATTTATCTCAATTCCACAATCCTCTCTCAATTTCACAAATTCTCTAAATCTCCACCAATTTCTTTAAATCTCCATAAATCTCTTTGCTCACTTTTCTTTATATTTTTTCAAATTCTATATAAAGCTACCAACTTCATTTCTACACACCAATTATCCAAGCAAAAGCTACATTTCTGTGAGATACGTTAGAGTATAGTTTTTTTAACTATTGCTTTAGTACGAAATTTGTAAATCTACCTTAGTAAGCTACTTTATTTGTATTACTTAGGGAACAATAATGTGGTAAGGTGAGGTGACAAATGTTAAATCAAAAACTGTCAACTTAACCGCATGGACCAAAATTGTATTTTCCCTAAAATCAAATGAGGTGTTTGGTTCTACATTCTTAGAATTGAAATTTACAAAACATATAATTTGCATTCTGTAATCAAGAAAGTACCCTTGCCCTTCGAGGAAGTCCATCAAAATATTTCTTCCCAAATCCTAACCTTCAATTAAAGATTGAAACAAAGTACAACATGCTCAATAGATCAACTTTCTTTGATTAGAGTGGATTGTCAAACTACAAATCCCACAACACTGAATCATTCTTAAACACAGTTGCCAACAACTATTTCAATAGCCAAAGTAAACCAAAATATATATTTTTAAAATTAATTAAAAAAAAACACTCTAATAAAGTTTATGTACACAAGTAAAATAATTGAAGATTACTCGATAGAAAAAGATACAATAGAACAAAGGTTACACAAAAACTCAATCATGAATGCACAACAGAAATTCAAGCCCTTCGAGATTTGGATTGTAACTTCCTAATTAAATACTCTCCCAAACCAGAGCCTGCTTCCACTATTCTAGTATCTCTTTTCACATCTTTCTTCAAAATCTTCTTCAAAATTTCACCTAATTCAACCGTGTCTTCAACATCACAAATTCCAGACACTATAATATCCCAAGTATGGTAATGAGGGGCTTTCCCATTCTTTAGAACGTTTTCAAGAACGCTACACGATTCGCCTATCCTCCCGACATTACTGAAACCCTTAACGAGCGCATGAATGACAGAGAAATGTGGACAAAAACCCTTTGATGTCATCTCTTCCACATAATCCTTTGCCAATTCAAACATCCCCTGATCACATAATCCATTAGTCAAACTCTGGTACGACACTAAATTAGGCAAACAACCATTTGACTGCATATCCTCCAGAATCTTACAGGCATCAAGGGCACGCCCTTCTCTACAAAATCCCATTATAACTGTATTGTAATGAGAAATATCAGGATTGCAACCCTTCACCTTCATTCTACACAGAAGTTTATAAGCTTCTCTTAGCTTTTTCTTCCTACATAAACTATTCAACAAAGTGGCATAGCTCAATGTGTCAGGAACATAGCCTTTGTTTAACATGTCTTCTAGCAAGTCTACAGCCCCATTCACCTGATTCTTCCTGCACAAACTCTGCATTAGTATCCGGTACGACTCGACATCTGGGGTAATATCTCGTTCGAACATTTTGTTGAACAGTGTGTAGGCAATGCTGAGATCTCCATTCCAACAAAATGCTCTCATGAGGATGTTGTATGATTTGGTGTTGGGCAACACTCCATGATGACGGGCATTCTTGAAAAGGTCAAAAGCTGGTCGAATAAAGTTACGGTGAGACACCAAAATTTCGAGTATGCGGTTCAACTGTTTGGACGAAGGTTGGCAGCCAAACTCAATCATGGTATAAAAGGTTTTGAGGGCTTTGTCCGGTAAATCAGCTTCACCATAGATTTTGATAATGTAGGAGAAGATGGTTGGAGTGATGGGGTGGCCTCTGGACTTGGAGCTTATTAGAAGATCATCAATCAGAGAGAAGTATTTGGAGCGCCCCAGCTTGAGGATAAGAATGAGGAAAGAGGAGGAGGATGGGCAGAAGTGGGGTTGACGACAAGCGTAGTCAAAAATTTCCTTGGCAAGAAGTGGATCAGGCTGGGAAGCAACGAGTTTTTGGACCCTACAAGGGGAACCAATTGAGAAATCTGGTTGCTCTTTACATTGTTTATGATTTAAGTTGGTTAATAGAATTCTCGATCCATTGTGAGCAGCATCTAAGGCTGGTTGGTAAAGAGAGGATGATGAGGAGATCGAGTTGGAAATAAATGGTGTTTTGGAGACAAGGTGAGCAACGATGTTGTAGGGACGGATAAGATGTTGCTGCATAATTTTGGAAACTTTCCAACGGCTAGAGAGACAAATCACAGGACATAAATAAGAGATGGCTCCGGTGGGATTAAGTGTACACATAGATTGGACATAGGCCAAGTATGGATAACATGTGGCACATGTACACGAGGCTTAATTTTTGTTTTCCTGCAAATTTAGCATATTTGAGACAAATTGTTACAACAAATATATATATAACTATAAAAATAATTGTAAATATAGTGAAAATTAGAACACACAAATGAGTAGTACTATAATTACTAGTTGGAATTGGAATTATCTATGTTAATCAATAATTATTAGGATTATAGTTCGTTAAAATCAAGTCAAACATCAATTTATACAAGTTAACAACCATTGCATAAAAGAAAACATATGAGACATGCTTTTATAAGGTACATTAGTGATATATTTACAACTTCATTAGATACTACATAGTTGAAATGTATGCTTTTGTTTATGTGATGATAACAGGTGTTGCTCTTGTTATTACTGAAGAGTAGTTGGTCAACTACTCGTGGGACAGATCTGTATAGTAAGCTTGATGTTATCTCAATGACTAGAATGAAAGGCGACTAAATAAGTGTAGGATAAGTTGCTTTGAAAATTTCTGAGACATTAAACACAGGTTCTTAATGAGAAGATGGCATCCCAAGACAAGTAAAAAAGGCACATAGAATTCTACCCATAACCCATTATTATCATTGAGCTTTTATTTCCATTTTAATTTCTACCATGAAGAAAATCACATACCATTTTTCTAATCACTATAACAAACATCAAAAAAGTACATTGAAGCCAAATCCAGCAGGCAGCAGAGAGATCCTATTTGTTGTTTGTAACACTGGAAATCTAAAATGTAGAACTTTTTCTTTCTTTTACCAAACACACTTTCAGCTTCCAACAGTAAAGTTCATGTGCACATAGAATAAGAACATTACTTTCTATTTTATTGTAGATGTTCATTTTTTTTCCTTAAAAAAGCGCACAAACCAAAAATCAAAACATAATAACTAAAATGTTTTTTGACCAACTGATTTCTTTTATTCTGAACCATAAGAAGGCTCGGTTCCTGTTAAGTGGGGTTTTGGACTAATACTCCATTATACTTACGAAGAATAACAAACAGGATTTCCGTTAATTTCCTAACAGAGAAAAGTTTGATTCGTTTCAATCCTTTCCTGTGGAAATTTTTTCTGATTTTTTAAGAATGTTAACAAGAAAGTTTATTCCTTACTTTTTAAAAAGAATATATCTATTAAGAACCGTAAAGAATGGTTAAGAAGTTTGGTAGAACATAAAATATTTTTTTCTGCTCATGAAAGAGTAAAAGAGATAAAGACCAAAGACATACCGTTGAATATAGGCAGCTTCCTTTGTTGCTTCTGTCCACTGCACCTGCTGGCTGTGCTATTAGATCTCCCTCTCTCCTCCTCCTCTGTCTTTAGCACCATAGTTGATGGAATTCAAGCATTCCAATGACTCCAAGGAGAAATCTTAGAGTTCAGAGATTTACGCTGTACAAATGGGATTGGTGGGAGGCATAGAACGGTTGAATACTGATAGAACCCAAAATATATTGAAATATATAAGATAAAAGGATTACAATATAACCCAATTATTAGAGGTACTTGGACCGTCCCCTCTATTGAGTATTCTTACTCAAGCCTAAACCACCAAACAATTGGATACCTTCATCCTTTCCTCTACCCTCTATTTTATAACTAAACCTCCTAACACAATTACCAATATACCCTTCATACCCTAATAATGACCCTAAATACCCCTAAAGGCCATTCCTATCAAATACTTACAGTAGGAAGCAATTCAGACAACTCTTCTGGACGATGAGAGCATCAATGAAGGAAGTCATCAAGAACGGAGGAAAGCAACAGTTCAAGTTCCGGTATGATCCTTACAGCTACACTTTAAATTTTGATGATGAGTTTTGCAAATTTGAAGCTGTTGCAACTGAAACGCCTGAAAAACAAAAACAACAGAGTTGCTGAAATTCAAATCACTCTGCCCTGTGGGTTTTTGTACTTATGGTGAAATTTGAGTGGATTTTCTTGATTCGCAGATTGACTCTTTGCTTGTTCATTTTCTTCTGAATTCTTGATTAAAAACCATCTAGTTGACAATAAGAAGTTATGCACACAGTATGACCATCAATATTAATTGGTTTTGTGTTGATAGAAAGACTTATCTTACCCCATCGTTGGGTTCTAATCATCATCCTTGATAGGAACAGTGATTAATTATTTAAGCTCTGCAATGAAATAGCAGGTGAAGACTTACCATTGAGCTCCAATCACTTGTAGATGATCAATCAGAGTCGATAACTGTACGCTGCTGCACTGCACTCAACGCCATGTAAGTTTCGCAATTACTTCCCCAAGCCTCTGCCATGCTAAATTTCCTGCAAGACAACTACCTCGAAAATCCAGGAGGTAAAAGTAAGCAACATAGTGTAGAATTGGCAAGATCAGCTCTAATCATCCTTTCCTAATCAAGAGTTTCTTAACATTCTTGATTAGAAATGATATATTAGCAAGATCAATTGTTTAATCTCTGCAATGGAAAAGCAAATGAATAATTACCATTACTCCAATCTTCTGTAGATTATCAATCGAAGTCGGGAACTGTGACATCAGTGTTGCACACTTGATGCCATTGAAATTTCGCAATGACTTCCCCAAGCCTCTTGCCCTAATAAAATTCATGCAAGATAACTATCTCAAAAATCCAAAATCGAGAGCAATAAAAATTTTAATCGGCAATTTACAACCTACTTCATATCCCATATTCTTTCTCCCTTCCAGATAAAAAATTCAAGAGTAATTCACGGAGATAAAGAGTGGCAGAGTGGAGAAACCCAAGTAAAGAAATTATTCAAGTAGACTAGATAAGAAAAAACAAAAAAGAGTCACTTCTATGTACATCCATGGTATAGATAAGGTAATGCTAATCTATGTGGCAATAGCAAACATGTATGAAGGAAGTAGTTCACTTCTTAAACATACAACTATAAGTAAAATCTTGTCATTCCTAAAGATTAATATATCTATAACCCATCTTGGATCTTAATACCGATTTTTATAACTAATATAAAGTTCATTCAGAAAAAATATTTCTAGATAAAAACTAATGTCCAATACACAGACAATAAGCAATCAAAAAGATACATATTGAGACAACTAAGCCTTGTCCTTAGAAAAGATATGTATGATACCTTTGTTGTCGTTATTTGGCACTAATTCAATATATCAAGATTTGACATCATCTAGCAACCATCTTGAAAAGCAACTAAGAAATAATCAGTGGATTATTATTTACACTGTTGAAAGTTAAATCGAGCAAATTGGAAAAAATCAAGAAAAAAAGTTAAGACCATCTGTAAGAGAAAAGACTAAGTGCAAAATGCCTTCATCTGAAATTTTATTTTCATGAAGGACTAGCCTCTACATCTTTTGAGGTTGTTCGCTTTCCTTTTTCAATACATATCTTGTGTCTTGTCAANGAGGCCTCGACACTCATCTTTATCCAATATTGGCGTATCGACCCCCGACCATTTATACCCGAGGCCCTGACATTCACCCATTCACTTCATAATTTGCAAAACTCCACATATCGTTTCTAGCCTCCAACCAAGATTGCAGTACTAACCCCTTAATACCACCAACCACCACAACGCCTCTCAACAACACCACCACTAGTATGATTTCAATGCATCTCCCACTCCCCAATACATTTCAGCATGCTTCCCCAACATAAACATTATTCTAATAGCAAAACAATAAACCAAACATGCTTTCACAACATACCAAATCTTAACAACTACGCCACAGTGAGTTTAGTCATAACGGAGCATAGTCAACAAATTTCAAACGATTGAGGCCCAACACAATTCATCTGAACACTTAATATCCAACGTCTATAAAAACACTACTAGATATAATAAAACTCATGAGACACGCTAAACACTTCATACGAATTCAGACAACGTACATTTCCAAAATAAATTTCACTTTAACGAACATTCCCTACAACCATACGTCATTCTACCATAGATCTCAGCAGTTCAACAATGCAGAATTCACACTATTAACACCGACGGACATTCAACAGTAACCAGGCATACAAAACTATAGCACTGAACAACCACGTATCCGAACCAATATTAAGCATCATAGACAGTACATGGGCAACCAAATAACATACACCAACTCATGCACCCGCCCCCGTGCTACTTACAAACACTTGTCCTAAAGCTCCTAAGCTCGTTGAGCACTTCCTACTACGATCTCGAGGTTAGTAACCAATTAGAAATATTTAGTTATAAACAAAACCGAGTTTAGGTAGAGTCGTTACCTACTAACCCACACTAAAACAACTTGGGTTAGGAGTGGGTTGACGTCGAAGGGGTTCGGGCTCCCGATCTGAGTTCAAAAGGCCTTAAGCTTGCTGTCCCGACGTCTAAAAGTGATGAGTAATGCTGATTTAGGTCCGATTAGAGGTGGGTCAATGCCGAACCCATGCCGAAAAGAGTGGGTAATGCCAATTTGGGTTGGAATAAGAGGGGGTCAACATCGAACGTCACCGCAAGGCCGGAAAACGTCACCAAACTCGTTGGGCTTCAC